CCGCCACAACCTCACGATTACGAGTCCGGTAGCCGAACCGCTAGGCCACCGCCGCCACAACCTCACGATTACGAGTCCGGTAGCCGAACCGCTAGGCCACCGCCGCCACAACCTCACGATTACGAGTCCGGTAGCCGAACCGCTAGGCCGCCGCCGCCATTGTCAGATGTACACAGAGCGTAAAGAGTGGCGTCCTTGAAGTGTTTGTCGAGGATGTCATAATTTAATTCAATAGATGGAAGTCACGTGGTTATTCATTATGCATTAGCGTTTGCGTGCTAAGTGCAACTTTACCCGTGCAGCGCTTATCGTACTGTCGAATTAACAAATCTATAGTTACACCATCATCATCGTCATCATCATCGTCATCATCATTATCCAGTGCCAGATCTGCGACAGACACCGGCGATCATGGTTCTCCATTCATTCCTTTGCTCGGATGTTCTCAGAAAAGCTACGCTTCCCAGATCTTTCCCTGTTACCCATTTCCCCAAGTAGATTGTACTGGACCTACCCCTGCCTCGTTTGCCTTCAATTTTGCCAGTGAGAACTAGATGTTCTCAATATAACACCGGTTATAATAATACTATATTATGCTCCGTTTTGTTTGTGTGTGTGTGTGGTGTGTGTGAGAGAGAGAGAGAGAGAGAGAGAGAGAGGGGGGGGGGTGATAGGGGTGACTGTCGGTGAGCTCTCTATGTCTACGTTGCATGTCTTCCTGCCAGTAAGAAATGCAATTAAATGTATCGCCATTTTAAAAAGTAAAAAATACAAATTCCACAAATAAGTAGATGTGATAAATAGCAAGATTGACACAGTTTTAAAAATAGGCATTATAATAAGCTCAAGGCAAGTGGAAAAAAAGACGTAAGGCTTTTAAAATTACAAGCCAGATGTACCAATAACCTAAAACATGTCGTTATCTTAGAACTACAAATTCTACCTGATCAGTACCTAACTTTGAGAAATTTGACGTTAAAAAGTTTGAGTTTTATAAAACTGCAAGCTTTTTTTAATGCAATTATTTGAATATCTTCAAAACGACTCCAAATAATATTTCGATTTTGATAAAGCAGCTAGAACATTTTTGGGGTTTCCGAACTCACAGTCTCAGTAACCGAAAACGGCCAAAAATGTCAGATAGAACTTTGTAATTCGAAGGTTGCGATGCGTCTCATTACAGACGAATCCGATGTCACTCACAATTCCGGCGCCGCCCTCCAGGCGAAGAGGCGGGGCGTAGATAAGCCCCGCCCATGTCCGAGTGACGTCACCATCTCTGTCTCCCTGGACGTGGACGGTGGTGTCGTGTCGCCCCAGGCCAGGCCCGGGATGATCAAGAGGTAGGCTGGACCACGTTTCTCTTCTTTTCTTCTTAATTATACACAAATAAATGAATAAATAAATGAATAGATGAGTAAAAAATAAATAAATGAATAAATAAATAA